AGAAGTACCACCACATTTACTCTTATTTTTTTCCTTACTACTTTTTTTAGTAAAATTAAATAATCTACTAATGCCACTTGGTTCTTTCTCTTTTCCTTTACCGGTATCTTTTTTGTTAGAACTCATATTTAATTATATGTAAAGTATAATATAAAAATAATAATAACACAAAAATTAATGACGAAAAATAAAATATAAATATTATGAAACGAATGTACCAAACGTCTGCGTTAATAGCAGACGTTATAACCGATTCTTGAAGCTTGTAGTTTGTTGTAACTTGTAACTTGTAATTTGGAACTCCAATTTCATATTATATATATTATGATATATAATATGAAAACTTAGAATTGAAATATATGTATTATGATATAATATGAGACTTAAATGAAATAAAATATTGAGATTTGAGACTTAAGATTGAGACTTGAAAGAATATAAAAAATAGATGAGAGAATATATGATTTTGTAAGAAATAATAAGGGATAGAGGGGTATTTATAATATTAAAAGTGGGTTAAAGTGTATTTATAATAACTTGAGGGTTTAAAGTAAATTATTAAAAGTAGGGGTGGTAGGGGGAAAAAACTGTCAAAAAATCCGTTGGGGGGCCCACTAGCTGTTGCCCAACGGATAGAATTTAAAAAAATAAAATAAAATAATTGTTAGGGGATCCCGCGAACCGGCCGGTTCATCCGAGCCGGGTCGACCGGGACCAACGGGTGAACCGGACCGGTATCGGTCCCCTAATCTCGAAGGCCCCATCCCGCGAGATTCAAATGGGACCGGGTCCGGCGAGCCGGTTCTCGGACCGGTAGTGGGCCGGGGCGGGCCGACCCGGTCCCCCTGTCAGTCCTATGTTAGACTATTCTTGAGGTCCCACTTGAATTACTATTTTTTCAACAAAAGCGTCTAAATTACCAAATTTAAATTTAGTGTTTCACTAAAATTTTGAATAGCGGTCCATACTACTGCATAGCACTATAACTAGTAAGAAAATGAATGAATATCACATGCAAGTATTTATGAAAGTCATATGCAAGTAGTGATAGAACTATGTGTTGTCTTCTGCATTAAGATTAGCAAATCATAAATAATAAAGATAAAAAGAAAAATAAAGAATTATCTGAGTCCACAGAACCCATTGTGTGTCTTTAAGAAATTTAATCCCCTCAAGTACCTGAGGTTGCAAATTAATTCCTCCCAAGATAAAACGGATAAACCATTAAAGAAGTAGTGGTACTTCAAACTTCAATAATTTCAACGAACTCAAAATGACAGCAACGAATCACACACAGAGACACGATCGATCGATTTTGTTTTGTAAGAAAAGTATGCAAAAGAAGGGAAGAATTTGATGCAGAAAAATGAGAGAAAACCTCTCTATTTATAGCCAACAAAGGATAGAGGTCACAACTCTTTGGAAAAAAGGCAACCTTTCAGAAAGGTCACAATCCTTTGGCAAAGGCACAACCTTTTAAATGGTCACAACCCTTTGGCAAAGTCACAACCCTTCAGAAGAGTCACAACCCTTCATTTCATGTTCACACCTTTAAAACCCAACACTATGTATGTAACTTTCTTTTATTTTCTTACTAGTTATAGTACTACTTAGTACTCCCTATGTCCCTAATTACTTGTCCACTTTTCCTTTTATAGTTGTCCCTAATTACTTGTCCATTTTGATAAATCAAGAAAGAACAAAATTTTTTACCTATTATACCCTCAATTAAATAAATAATTACTTTGAAAAATGTAGAACTTTTCATCCACTTCATAATTAATAAGGGTAAAATGGTAAACTCACTATGTCATTAATTATTTTCTTAATAGGTGTGTCAATTTAAAAATGGACAAGTAATTAGGGATAGAGGGAGTAGTATATGGCCCGTTATTTGAAAGCTTAGTGAAACACTGAATTTCTTACTTTAGAAGCTTTTCTTGAAAAATACCAATTAAAATGGTACCACAAGATTAATAGTCTAAATCACAACACAATGCATTAACTCATCAACATCACTAGCTTTAGGAGACTATTAGCTAGCTAAGATGGAGAACCTCACTTTATTTTTTCAAGAAGGAGCTAAATTGCAACACAAATTGTTGCTACCATCTCTACTCCCACAAGTGATAAGTAAGGCTTCTCTCAAATACTTTTTTTCTTATAAATATGAAAAATTAACTAAGAGTACCTACTTTTCCTCCACCAAAATGTTAAACATACAAGGAGAAATAGGAGATTTGAGATGGAGCACAAATCATATCAAAAGCTAAAAAACTTTGATAACATTAACCAAACTGCAGTCAATGTTTAAATTTGAAGCATGACTTCTGCGATCTCGCAACAATTTAGTACATCGATCATTCAAATAATGCATGTAGATCAACATACAACACCAATGTTGTAAAATATCATCTTAAAGTTTGCGCATAAGCAGAGGAGCACCATACTGAGGATGAATAGTCACTATTGCAAATGGAGCATGTGTATATGATGGTGATAGTTCGAAGGAGAACTTTTGTAGTATCATTGCTATTGCCATTTTTGCTTCCATCATTGCAAAGTTTTGTCCGATGCAAACACGCGGTCCCCAGCTAAATGGTATAAAAGAGACTTGTCCTTTGGTTGCCTTTGACACTCCTTCACTGAATCTTTCTGGTTTGAATTCCTTTGCGTCTTCACCCCATATCTCCTTATCATAATGTACTAGGATTGCGGGTATGATGAGTTGCATTTCGGCTGGTAGGTTTAGCTCCCCTAATTTCACTTCTTCTTTATTCATTCTACCAATTACTGGCAATGGGGGGAATAGCCTTAATGTCTCGTACAAGATCATTGTTACCTAAGGAAAAAAGTACTGCATAAATTGACAGTAGAATGAGAGTGTTTGGGTAAAGCTTTGACCAAAAGTCCTTTTAACCCAAAAAAAACCAAAAGCTATAAGTTGATTAGCCGCAGCTTATGATTTTTCTGCTTATAACTTTTATAGCACTTTTGGTCTATTTTTACAACTGTCTATTTTCACAATCCATTTCAACACATAAGAATGTTTTTCGACACTTAGCTTGTTTATGTTTATTAACTAATCTCAATTAGTTAAAGCCAATTGAGCTCTCTAAGTTCATTTCTTGTCTCGACAGTCCAGTAGAATAACTATATTGAGGACACAAAACGTAGTAATTATAACATTGGAAGAAAAGTACTTACAATTTTCAAGCGATTTAGTCTTTCCAAATCTGGTTTATTATTTCCAAAGACGTGCAACACCTCCTCTCTGGCACGTACTTGCCACTCTGGATGTAAGCACAGCAAAATCATTGTCCAGACGAGCAACACTGAAGTAGTCTCTTGTCCAGCAAAATAGAATAACTTGCACTCTTCAATCACTTCAACTGTTGTCATTCCGAAATCTTTGCTTCCGTGTTGTTCAATTTCTTTCATATTGGATTCAAGTAATATGCCTAATAAGTCATCTTTACTAGGCTCCCCTGCTTCCATTGCCCTCAATCTTTTGTCGATGATACACCTGATCGTTGTTTGGACTTGCTTTTCGATTTCCAGCATTCTTTTGTTCCTTTTAGTAGGCAAGAACCTATATAAACAAGAAAAGTCTGTTAGTAGAAAAAATTTCATATTTAATTACAGAGAGATTTGACAAGCGCAAAAGTAAGTTTTGAACGTGGAAATGTGATGTACCTTGATCCTGGTATATAAATTGATCGTCCTTTTTCGATTACATACTCAGCTTGTTCTTTCTGAAGTTCAAATACTGTTCTTCCTTCTTCATAGCTACTCCCAAATGCTGTACGAGATATGACTTCACTAGCCATTATTTGAAGGTCTGGCCATACATCGAGTTCAAATGATGTTCCCTTTGGAACAATTTCCTCCCATTTGCTTAGCATTTCACTACAACTCACATAAAATGCTGGCAGCATATGCTGTAAATGAAAAAACCAGCAAATGCTTGTTATAAAATTAGTTGTCTTACTTCCCTTCTAAGTCTCTTTAAAAAAGAACGTTTCTTTCTATATAATATATCCTACATGGAATGTTTAGACCACAAGATTTAAATGATATTTTGGTATATTATACACAACATCTATAGTTTAAGACCACAAGATCCAAGAGACTCCCTTATTTTCTTAACCATTGTCCTTGCCCAATCAAACTACAACAACATACTCAGTGTAATCCCACAAGTGAGGTCTGAAAAGGGTGGTGTGTACGTCGACCTTACCCCTACCTTGTAAAGGTAGAGAGGTCAAGTATAACAATTCAAAATAGGTTTGAAAAGCTAATGAAGAAAAAACGTTGAAAATAATGGAGAAGGGAACAAATATAACGGAAGGAGTAATAAAGTAGAACCTTTAACTTCTCTACGTGGAACACGGGATTGATGATTTTTCTGTGTTTGGCCCATTTGTCTCCATCAATGGCTGATAGACCGTCAGCCAATAACTTGGTCATTGGATTGACATGACGCTGCTTTACATACACATAATTCTTTGTGAAAATCTCTTTTACATGTTCAGGATCTGTGATCAACACTGTTGGATATGGGCCTAGCCACACAAAAGAACTTTTACCTGCCAGTAATCTGTTTCCGATTAGAAAAAAAGAAGAAGAAGGTATAGCACATAAACAAACACTCAAATTTGATTTCAGTCGACAAATAATCACTCCAACTTTGAGGTTCAAATCTAGACACCTCAACTTAGTCTCAACTAGCAACTAAACGCTTCACTCGTCTCCACTGTGTCTTATAGACACCCAACGCTAGCGTAACACATAAATATTACACGTGTCTAAATGATCATCACATAATAGAGACAAGTTGAAGTGTTAGATGTGCATACTCAAAGTTGCGGTGTTTACTTTCCAACTGAATCAATAAAAGAAACATATACCATTTTTGTTGATGGAGTTGAGGAAAAAGGGATGAGTCTTTGAGCTATATCATCAGAGAAATTGATAGGCTTAGACTTTGCTTCAACTATACTTTTTGTGAATTCATTCAAATCTCCATAGAGTAACTTATATGGATTTCCTTTTAGACCCCTTTGCCTTAAGATATTCTCCAATTTTTTTGGCCTAAACCATGCCCAATTCAACACTCTCCATGTAAATACCAACAATATTGCAACACAAATTGTTGCTATAATTGTGTTGGACAAAATCTCCATCAAATTATCTTTCTAGCTGTTTATTTTTACATAGAAAAAAGAGGGGAAATAGCTAATTTACCTTTTTGATTTGTTGTTGTTTCGACAAGATAAGGCCTAGCTGTTCTCTCCACCACAAATACATCATGGTACCATACTAATAAAGAGTTTTGTCCAATCTGTTTGGATCCACTGATCAATTTTATGATTTTTCTAGGAAAATTAATAAGCGGATTTCTTATTTATTTTCTTCTACTCTATATAAATGTATATATATCCCTCGTCATATTGGGAGAAATATATTTGGACTTAAAGTATAACTGAAAGGGTATATTTGGAATTCTACCCAAAGGTATAACAAGGAGTATATTTAAACTATTTCTTTTAGCACTAGAGTATATTTGGTCGTTTCTCCATATATATAATCTAGAAAAATACTATGGGAGGCAGGGATGGGGCCTAGGAATTGTGAGGGTGAAGAAGAGGTGTGTTGGAAGGTCAAGAAGACACAATCAATGTGAAATGTCACTTGTGATACTTGTTTTTCCTACTTCTACTACAAAAGTCATATTCCAGCTCATTTTTAAGTAATTTTCGTAAAAAAAATGTATTCCAAAATTTTGATCAATCAAAAATGAAAAAATTGAAATTTCTCCGTACCAAACACACACACATATAAGTAAATAAAAATGTATTGTTATTCCTCTTAAATTTTACAAAAAACAAAATTATGTCATGAGTTATTGAACTTAACCAGCTGTAGCCATGATATCTTACCAATCACATTTGCTCAAGGCATACAACTTAACAATAGGATCTTTACCCTACCATGAATCCAAAATCAACTAATTTGTAACCCCAAAAACCCAAATCTGGTTTATCATTTCCAAATACCCACAACACCTCCTCTCTAGCACATACTTGCCACTCCGGAGGTAGGCAGAGGCGAAACCAAGATTAAGAATTTGGGGGTTCTAAATTTTTTTAATAACTGTCAATCAATTTTGTTAGGAGTTCACAAATTAATATACATATATATTTAATTAATTTTTTAGTACAAATATAAGGTCTACAAAAAAGCTACTGAATTTATCTGAACCCATGAACCTCACCTAGCTCCGCATCTGGACGTAGGCACAACAAAATCATTGTACATACGAGCAACACTGAAGTGGCCTCTTGTCCAGCAAAATAGAATAACTTGCACTCTACACCATACAAATATTTCAGACAATTATTTTTTAAGTATCCTATCAAATCAAACCAACTCATCTCAAATAGACTAACTCATTCATATCTACACAGAGTCTTAATCAGTATCAATATGATGTATACGTTCAGAAAAATGTGAAGATAGATTTTTGTCACCACTCTATCCACCATATATATATATATAAAATAAGGCACTCAAAAAAAAAGAAGAAAGAATTAATCAAAAATCAGGACCACATAAAAGAACAAAATTAATTTATTTTTTAAAAAAAAAAAAACTAGCTTCTTTTATTACTTCCTCTCCCCCAATCAATATCACTCACTTTAAATATTACTATATGTCCCTAATTACTTGTCCACTTTTGAATTGACACACTTATTAAGAAAATAATTAATGACATAGTGAGTTTATCATTTTACCCCTATTAATTATGAAGTGGATGAAAAGTTCTACATTTTCAAAATAATTAGTCATTAAATTGAGGGTATAATAGGTAAAAAGAATTTGTCCTTTCTCGATTTGTCAAAATGGACAAGTAATTAGGGACAACAATAAAAGGAAAAGTGGACAAATAATTAGGGACATAGGGAGTATTAGCAGAAGAAACTCAAAGGACTAAGAAAATAATTAAATGCTTGGAATGTGAAAAGGGAGTAAATATGAAGTAGAAATGTTAGTGCCTTTAAAAACTTTGTGCTCAAATATTGCCATGTAATGTCAGATTCCAATTAAATCTCTTACCTCTTAATTACACACAAGTTCATAAAAATTAAAACGTTTTGGATTTTCTTTCAATTTTTAATTAAAAGTCTTTTAAATAAACATTAAATATGAAAGAGAAATACTCCCTCTGTCCCTAATTACTTGCCCACTTTTGAATTGATACACCTATTAAGAAAAATTATTGACATAGTGAGTTTACCATTTTACTCCTATTAATTATGAAGTGGATGAATTAAAAACTTAATATTTCAAGAAGTTCTACATATTTCAAAGTAATTAATTGAGGGTATAATAGATAAAAATTGTATCATTTTTTTATTTGTCAAAATAGACAAGTAATTAGGGACAACTAAAAAAGGAAATGTGGACAAGTAATTAGGGACATAGGGAGTATGAGTGTATTATAAAACTTCTTGCTCAAATGTTGTCTTATTCTATAAATAATCATATTCCAACTAAATCTCTTACCTCTTAATTACACACCAAATTCATAAAAATTAAAACGATTTATTTTACTCTATTGTTTTTGAATTAATTTCCTATCTTTTTTCTTCTTATTTATATAATGATAACATAATAATATACTAATATTTTATATGTATAAAAAATCAGCCCACGTAATAGTAATATATCATGCCTTCAATATTGAGTTTTAATTCCTCAATAAACTGAATAATTAATGGATAGTGAATGTCTATGTTTCTTCATCTTTCCCCTTCCTATAACCCCCATATATTCAACAATTACACTTACATTTACTTTTTACATCAAATTTTGGGAACAATGATTTTTAAATAATATTGTTGCATATATATATTTTTCATTCCTTTTCAACAATAGTGTATGTTATGCTGATTAATAAATAGTGTATATGTGATGCTGATATATAATAAAAGAAAAGGTAATGCAAATAGAGAGGTGATCGTATAGGTACGTAATTCTTTTGTCCACTTTTAATTAATTTATTTTTGGATGAGGGAGAATGCTTTTATGATGATATGAAAATTTTGATTAATATCTATTTGATATTTTTTTTGTTGTGATAAAAAACTGTAATTAATTAATTTTTAAAAGAATAAAAATATCTAATATCTTTCTATGGATATTTTCGCTTTTCTTCATTTGACATGACACTTTTCCAATTTTAATATTTAATCATAATATGCTATGATTATTATTTAATATTTAATTAATTAGATATTTTATAATATACTAAATTAAGTGTAGGGGAAAAATGATATTTCAACTTTTACTTTATGTGGTTTTCCACTTTTAGTATAATATGATATGATATGATGATTAGTACTACGTAGTAGTATACGGACCACTACTCGAAATCTTGGTGCAACTAAAGCGAGCTTACTAAAGACAAGGACGGAGTAACTTCCACTAGACTAGTTAAGCCTACTACTTGGATAAGTTAGTTCATTTCGGAAATCTTGCCGTAACTACTAACCCATATAGGGTTAATGAACCTTCTGTAACCCCTTAACTAAATATATTATATAATCTTGTTATCCAAAAAAAATCACTTTAATTAGTAGACTATTAGCTACCTAAGATGGAGAACCTCACATATTTTCAGAAAGGGGCTAAAACTAAAACCCAAATCTCAGATAAATATGAAATTTGAATCTTACCTGGCAAAATGTGTGAAATACACCCAAGTCACGCCGTCGAGGTAAAATTCAAGTAATTATTTGTTCAAGTTTGGGATAGTTAAAGTGCCTACTTGTACACTAGCAAAGTTAAACATACAAAGTTAAAGTGCCTACTTTTGCACCAGTATATCGATCCAAATGATGCATGTAGATCAACGTACAACACCAACGACGTAAAATATCATCTTAAAGTTTGTGCATAAGGAGAGGAGCACCATACTGAGGATGAATAGTCACTACTGCAAATGGAGCATGTGTATATGATGGTGATAGTTCAAAGGAAAACCTTTGTAGTATCATTGCTATCGCCATTTTTGCTTCCATCATTGCAAAGTTTTGTCCGATGCAAACACGCGGTCCCCAGCTAAATGGGATAAACGAGACTTGTCCTTTTGTTGCCTTTGACACTCCTTCACTGAATCTTTCTGGTTTGAATTCCTTTGCGTCTTCACCCCATATCTCCTTATCATAATGTACTAGGATTGTGGGTATAACAAGTAGCACTCCGGCTGGTAGATTTAGCTCCCCCAATTTCACTTCCTCTTCAGTCCTTCTACCAAATATTGGCAATGGAGGGAATAGCCTTAACGTCTCGTACAAGATCATCATTACCTAAGGGAAAGAGTATTGCATAAGTTGACAGTAGAATGAGAGTGTTTGGGTAAAGCTTTGACCAAATTGCTTTTAACCCAAAATTAACCGAAAGCTGTAAGTTGATTAGCCTCAACTTAAGATTTTTAATTTCTGCTTATAGCTTTTAAAGCACTTTTGATCTGAACAAAATTTCTCAAGTACTGTTCTATTGCTACTGTATTTCGAAATCCAGTAAATATCTTTTCAAAACAACATGACTAACTCCCGCTCCATTCCTTTCCGTTGTCCGTCCTTCTCCTTGTAAATATACTTTCTTATTTATATCTTTTGTGAATAGCTTTCAGAGCATTTAGTCATTTGAACACAAATGCTTATGGACACTTTTTTACCAAACATATTAGTTGTGTATGCTTCTATCCTAACACATAAATGTCTATTTGTAAAATCAATTTCAACACATAAAAATGGTTTTCAACACTTAATGTTTATCAACTACCCTCAATTAGTTAAGCCAATTGGGGTCTTAGTTCACTTCTTGTCAACTTCGGCAGTCCTGTAGAATCACTATATTGAGGACACAAAACGTACTCATTAAGAGATTGGAAGAAAAGAACTTGTGTGAAAAGTACTTACAATTTTCAAGCGATTTAGTCCTTCCAAATCTGGTTTATTATTTCCAAAGACCTGCAACACCTCCTCTCTGGCACGTACTTGCCACTCCGGATGTAAGCAGAGCAAAATCATTGTCCATACGAGTAATACTGAAGTTGTCTCTTGTCCAGCAAAATAGAATACTGAAGTTCGATTTCTTTCAAATTGGATTCGAGTAATATGCCCAATAAGTCATCTTTACTGGTCTCCCCTGCTTCCATTGCCCTCAATCTTTTGTCAATGATACACCTAATTGTGGTTTGAATTTCCTTTTCAATTTCCAGCATTCTTTTGTTTCTTTTAGTAGGCAAGAACCTATATGAACAAATTTATTCAAACAAGAAAAGTCTATTAGTAGAAAAATTGCTAAGAAGATTTTTCATATTTAATTACAGAGAGATTTTGCAAGCACAAAAGAAAGTTTTGAACATGGAAATGTGATGTACATAAATTGTTGTACCTTGATCCTGGTATATAAATTGATTGTCCTTTTTCGATTACATACTCAGCTTGTTCTTTCTGAAGTTCAAATACTGTTCTTCCTTCTTCATAGCTACTCCCAAATGCTGTACGAGATATGACTTCACTAGTCATTATTTGAAGGTCTGGCCATACATCGAGTTCGAATGATGTTCCCGTTGGAACAATTTCCTCCCATTTGCTTAACATTTCACTACAACTCATATAAAATGCCGGCAGCATATGCTGTAAATCAAAAAACCAGTAAGTGCTTGTTATAAATGGATAACTTCTTAATGTTAATTAAGGCATCTAAATAAGCAATACTAAGTCAAAGGCATATAAAATTTACCGTGTTATCTAAATTTGGTTCTCTCTTGATTCAATTTGTTGTCTTACTTCCCTTCTAAGTCTCTTAAAAAAAGAACGTCACTTTCTATATTTAGTAATTCTATTAACTCCAATATGCCACATTGAATGTTTAGACCACAAGATTCAAAGGATATTTTGGTACATTATACACATCTTTAGTTTAAGACTACAAGATTCAAAAGACTCCCTTATTTTCTTAAACATCGCCCGTGCCCAATCAAACTATCCTAGAAGTGAGGTTTGAAAAGGGTGGTGTGTGCATAGACCTTACCCCTACCTAGTAAAAGTAGAAAGGTCAAGTATAACAATTCAAAACAGGTTTGAAAAAGCAATACAGTAATGACGAAATCACGTTGAAAATAATGGAGAAAAGAGCAGTAACAACATAAAAATATAACGGAAGGAGTAGTAAAGTAGAACCTTTAACTTCTCTATGTGGAAGACGGGATTGATGATTTTTCTGTGTTTGGCCCATTTGTCTCCCTCAATGTTTGGTAGACCCTGAGCCAATAACTTGGTCATTGGATTGGGATGATTTTGCTTTAGATACACATAATTCTTTGTGAAAATCTCCTTTAAATGTTCAGGATCTGTGATCAATATAACTGGATATGGGCCTAACCACATAAAAGAACTTTTACCTGCAAGTATCTCTTAGTTATTGCTATGATTTATTGTTTTTTTCCAGAAAAGGAATTTCAACAACAAAATCACTAATGAAATTCACAAACAAGGAATAGGCATTTCACGCACCCAATGATCTGGCCTAGTGGTTAATTGTTGAAGTGTCTGACAATCTCATCTGAGCATACTTTTATTATTTAATTATATTCTCAACATAGATGAAGTAATACAGAGACTATAACACTAGGTGACTCTTCTTATCTGACCTAGCTTCAGTGGACAAATTAGTCGAGGTGTACGAAAGCTGAGCCAGACACCACGGTCATTAAAAAAAAAAGGGAACAAACATTTCACAACTTCATCAAAAGTTCAGTCAGGCATTTTACCAAACAGTTGATACACATCACACAACATCTTTGTAACTAAGAAACATACCATTTTTGTTGATGGAGTCAAGGAAAAAGGGGATGAGCCTTTGAGCTATATCATCAGAGAAATTGATAGGCTTAGATTTGGCTTCTACTATACTTTTTGTGAGTTCATTCAAATCTCCATAGAGTAACTTGTATGGATTTCCTTTTAGACCATTTTGTATAAAGTATTTCTCTACTTTCTTTGGTCTAAACCATGCCCAATTCAACACTTTCCATGTATAAATTAATAAAATTGCAACACATATTGTTGCTATTATGTTGCTCAACATCTCCATTTTCACAAAGTCACAAAGCTTCTCTCAACTGCTTCCTCTTGTTATACAAAAATGGCCATAAGTCAAAAGGAATCTTTCTTGCTAATTTTAAATGGGGTGAGATATTTCAATTTATTTAAAATGTAAACATTTGATTCATAAGTTTATACTTTGTATAATTTTTAGAGATGCACAAGTAACTCTAGACTATGATCAAAATTTCAAGACATTGATTAATTAAATTAAGGTCTTATTATCCCTAAACTTATTTTTTGTAATTTTATACGTTTATGTGGAACACTCCGTGACTCCATGCAACTGAGGCACGTGAGAGATATTTGGATGTCACGTAAGCCAAAAAGGTGTGCAAAATTTTAAAAAAAATGGGTTCAGGGATAACAGGACCTTAGTTTAGTTAATGTGTGTCTCTGAAATTTTGGTCATAGTCTAGGTAATTTTTATTATTATTTTACATTTTGCAGAAAAAAAATCATGTTCAAGTTAAAAGATTGTTTGTACCGTGTAAAAAAATGATACTGTTATTGTTGACTAGTAGATCTTGATAAAGATACGTGTATTTGAAAGTTTGTAATTGCAAATATATTTAGTTATAAAAGAAATAGAGTGATACGTGATTTATCAATAGTGCATTAGTATACTTTGATATCTTGTTTAGGAATCACGATTATATCATTTTATAATATTGCATAAGAATTGATTTGTTTTATTTTTTTATATATATAGTTTTCATAATTTGTGGGATTTTCTATTAAGAAAAACATACAACTAATGAAATCAAAATTTCAATTCAATCTGATTTTAAATCATGTCCAAATAAAACCTTAATCTGCTCAAGTTTTAGCCCATTCATCGCTATCAAGAATTTAATGAATAAATAAGAATTCTCTGTCCTTAATTTGAGATCTCAAAGTTTGACATAGATTGCAATATGGATGTATATTAATTGAAGCTCTAATATAAATATCGAACGTCAATCAGAAATTAATGAAAAAAATTTACCCCTCCTGCTATGCCTGTTTAGTAAGTATTTTTTTTTCATAATTCTGTCCTGTCTCTGATCCTGTCCAACCAACAGGACAAGCCCTGCCTTACATTATCCCATTTATGTCTTTATTTTATTATTTCATTTGTCCTAGTTTCCATCCTATCTTTGTTATTTTTCAACCTTTTTCAATATATTTTATATACAACTTGTGTACTAATGATCTGAAAATACTAAACTAAAGATAGGGCATCTACGTAATATATACTATTTAGTTAAAAAGATAAATATATTGTTTAAATGGCTCGTTTACTTATAAAAACAAAACAAAAGTAGTTGTGTGATTGTGATTTGTGACCTCTCTTGATTCCATCAAAATATGTTAGTACTAGTTTAGAGACCCAAATTGAATAATAAGGTTATGGCCCAAAGAAAATAAAAAGAACTTAACGTGGCATAATACATAGGTAAACAACTATCTTGAAATACTTTAATTTTGAAAATGTACGTCTAGACACCTCAACTTATTACCCGTGTGTCTAGTGGACACTCGACGCTAACGTGACACATAATTTTTTATGGTATCTAGATATGCATCGTCAAAGTTGGGAGTGTTAAATTTCAACTGACGCCAAGTTAAGATGTCTATTTATGTATCAAACTATCAAGTATGTTTCATGGTATATAGAGGTTAAGACACAAATGAAGAGGTAAGTATATACAGGCCAAAGAAAACAAGAAAGTACAGAACACTTTAGAAACATAGCAGTAGTTGTTTTGATTGATTCCTACATATGGACAAACCAAAATGAACATAGAGGTGCAATAGAAATATATATATATGTTCTACACAACTTTAAGAAGAAACTTCTGCTCCACCAAGAGGCCAAATGAAGTTCATCAGAGGAGACCTATGATTAGTTGACCAAATAAATTTTGATAATGTTAACCAAGCTGCAATTTAACGTTAACGTTTAAATTCGAAGCATGACTTCAGTCATCATGTGACAAATTAGTATGGATCATACAACACCAATGGTGTAAAATATCATATTAGAGTTTGCGCCTAAGCAGAGGAGCACCATACTGAGGATGAATAGTCACTACTGCAAATGGAGCATGTGTATATGATGGAAGAGAGTTCAAAGGAGAACCTTTGTAGTATCATTGCTATTGCCATTTTTGCTTCCATCATCGCAAAGTTTTGTCCAATGCAAATTCGAGGCCCCCCTCCAAATGGGATAAACGAGAATTGTCCTTTGGTTGCTTTTGACACTCCTTCACTAAATCTTTTTGGTTTGAATTCCTTTGCGTCTTCACCCCATATTTCCTTATCATAATGTACTAAGATTGCGGGTACTATGAGTATCACTCCAGCTGGTAGATTTAGCTCCCCCAGTTTCACTTCTTCTTTATTCGTTCTACCAAATGTTGGTAATGGAGGGAATAGCCTTAGCGTCTCGTACAAGATCATGGTCACCTGTGAAGAAGGATCGCATAAGTTGGCAGAAGAATTAGGGGGTGCTTTGCTAAAAGATTTAACAAACTTATACGCATTTCTTGGCTAATAAGTACCACTATATTGAGGACACAAAACATACTATTGAAAAGAACTTGTGAACAGTACTTACTATTTTCAAGCGACCTAGTCCTTCCAAATCTGGTTTATCATTTCCAAATACCTGCAACACCTCCTCCCTGGCACGTACTTGCCACTCTGGATGTAGGCACAACAAAATCATTGTCCAGACGAGCAACACTGAAGTGGTCTCTTGTCCAGCAAAATAGAATAACTTGCACTCTTCAATCACTTCAATTGTTGTCATACCGAAATCTTTGCTTCCGTGTTGTTCAATTTCTTTCATATTGGATTCAAGTAATATGCCTAATAAGTCATCTTTACTAGTCTCCCCTCCTTCCATTGCCCTCAATCTTTTGTCAATGATACGCCTAATTGTTGTTTGAATATCCTTTTCAATTTCCAGCATTCTTTTGTTTCTTTTTGTCGGCAAGAACCTAGCAAAACAAATTTAAAACCAAACAAGAACAGTCTTTTAGCAGAAAGGCAGAGTACAGCTTCTGTTGTATCGTACTTATGTAACGACAAAGAAAGGTAAACGTCGAAATATGATAAATAAATTATTGTACCTAGATCCAGGTATATAAATTGAACGTGCTACTTCCATTACATGCTCAGCTTGTTCCTTCTGAAGTTCAAATACTATTCTTCCTTCTTCATAGCTACTCCCAAATGCTGTGCGAGAAATGACTTCGCTGGTCATCATTTCAAGGTCTGGCCATACATCGATCTCGGTTGATGTTTCCTTTGGAACAATCTCCTCCCATTTGCTTATCATTTCACTACAACACACATAAAATGCTGGCAGCATATGCTGTACAAAACATATGAGAAAACCAGTACTTGTTATAAATGGATAACTTCAATAAAAACAAAAAAAAGAACTATTAACCTTTAACTTCTCGACATGGAAGGCAGGATTGATGATTTTTCTGTGTTTGGTCCATTTGTCCTCCTCAACGCTTACAAGACCTTTAGCCAATAACTTGGTGAATGGATTGGGATGAGTTTGCTTTAGATACACATAATTCTTTGTGAAAATCTCCTTTACATGTTCAGGATTCGTGATCAACACGATTGGGTAGGGGCCTAGCCAGATGAAAGAACTTTTACCTGCGAGTAACGCTAGCTTAATAGAGGATGAAACAAATGAAAGAAACAAAGAAGGACATTTTAACTAGACTATCTTCATTATGTTACTAATGATTTTAATGGTACCTAATGTTATTATGCATCTCTTTTAGAGGAATTATATGCAATTTGAAGGGCAAAGAACAAAATCATCAGGAAATAACTGTAAAACCAAGCAATCGACTCGATTAGGCATTTTTTCGACAACAAAATCACTAATGAAAGTAAACATGAAATAAGCCTTTCACAACTTAATCAAACAGTTCATTCAGACATTTTAACAAACAGGTAATAGGCATTTCAAAAACTAAATCAAACAGTTTATTCAGGCATTTTACCAAACAGGAAATAGGCATTTCACAAATTAGTTAAATAGGTTAAAGATATTTTTTTTTAATAATTTATTTTTCTGATAAATTCATCATTTAATTCATCACTTTGTCACATCAGCACGAGTGTATTATATATATATATATACTGTGTGTGTTAGACAAGCTCGTCTCAATATCTACACAAAGTCTTGATTAATATCAATCTGATATATACTTTTACATAATTGTGAGGATAGATTTTTTGTCACTATACTAAAAAAAAAAAAAAAAAAAATTGACCTAAAATCAGTACCACATAAAAGAACAAAAGTAAATTAAACAAAAAAAAAAAAAACACTAGCTTCTTTAATTACTTCCTCGTCCAAATTAATATGACTCACTTTTTTTTAATCAGTCCTAAAAGAGAATTTATATTTATAGTCACATTTACGACTTATTTTAAATCATAAATTTTAAAAAAAATTTCTTAAATTTCGTATCAAATCAAATAATATCGCATAAATTGAAAGAGCTGAGGAAGAGAAACATACCATTTTTGTTGATGGAGTTGAGGAAAAAAGGGATGAGTCTTTGAGCTATATCATCAGAGAAATTGATAGGCTTAGACTTTGCTTCTACTATACTTTTTGTTAACTCATTCAAATCTCCATAGAGTAGCTTATATGGATTTCCTTTTAGACCTCTTTGCCTTAAGCAATTTTCCAATTTTTTTGGCCCAAACCATGCCCAATTCAACACTTTCCATGTATAGAACAACAAAATTGCAACACTAATTGTTGCTATAATTATGTTGTAAGAAATCTCCATTGATCTCATATATGATGAAAACTCCATTGAAAGGGGTTCTCTTACTTGCTTTCTCTTTATTAACTACACTATATAATATAAAAATGATTAGAGTCAAAGGAATAGTTCTTTGCTATTATAAATTTATAATAAATGGGGTGGGCCCGGACGAAGCAAGCCAAGTCTTTAGTCGACAAAATCGTTTTATTCCTAATTAGTATCCCGGTTCGATTTTAAATATTATCGGTTTTTTATTTTTAAATATGCTAAATTGATAATCAAATCAATAAGCTATTTGTTATCGATTTTTGGTTTTTTAACGGTTCGATTTTTTATTTAACCAATAAAAAAATATTTTCAAAATAAATATATGACTTGTCCAATAATTTGATGCGATACATGCATACATCGAAACAAGCAAATCAGACTAAATTGCAACAATAAAGACTAAAGTAATACTAAAACCTAAAGGGAAAATGCAGAGGCCAGAGTTTAGTAGTGTTAATTGTAGGGTTCTTATAGTTATAATGCAATATGGTGATTATATTAATATTTATTTTTGATATATATGCGTGATTGAAAATTAAAATAGTAAATTACTCCCTCCGTCCCAATTTATGTGAGGTACTTTGACTTGACACGAAGTTTTAAGAAAGAAAGGAAGACTTTTAAAAACTTGTGGTCCAAAATGAATGATAGAAATTTGTGTGACTGTAAATCATTTCATTAAGGGTAAAATAGACATTTTATAGTTAAAATTGTTACTTAATATAGAAATGTGTCATTCTTTTTGGGACTGACCAAAAAGGAAAGTAAGTCATATAAATTGGGACAGAGGGAGTATGAGTTATCGGTTAACCCAATAACCCAATATTAAAAAATCAATATAGAACCGATAACCCAATAATTATTTTTTATAAAATCATTAAATGGCCATTAACCCAATAACAATAAACCAATAACATTTCTTTTGGTTCGATTTATCAGTCGGTTCAGTTTTTGCACACCCCTAAATATCACAATAAAAAATGTTTTTGGATAAAATTTTGATGAGAAGATGTTTTTTTTTTTAAAAAAAAAAAGTATTTTTACACAAGGTAAATTTAAATTAATCACACTATCAGAATGAATATTGAATAGAAAAAGAAGTAGAAGAAATTTTAACCCAATAGGGAAATTTAGGAGTAATTGACTGGCTATTTAAATTTTGACTTTGTTGCTGAATTTTCCCCATCCCCTCACCCATATATAATATAAAAAATATAAAAACTTTTACGAAAAATTATGGTGCATGTTTAGTCAAAACAAAATCATAATTTTATCCTACCTTGCCCCATTCACTGATCCACACTCAAATTATCTTTATAATTTATATTTTTTAATTTTATATTTTTTTTATTAGAGATTTTCATTTTTGCGCCTAAGAAATTTTTATTCTTTCACATAAAAGATTCTAAAAGTCGAGTTCTTTTGTTCAAATTTGAAGTGGACAAGAAATCTTATTTCCTACTCTACGCGGTTTTTGTCTTTTCATTTCTAAAAAGTTTGGCCTTCAATATTTGTTCAATCAATTTGTCATTGTTCAACCCTTTTGCAAATAGTTTTAAAATCCATCTCTTTGGACTAATGATTTGAAAACGTCAAACTAAGAAAACAGAACTGCTCATTATATTAAATTCAAAACAAGTTATGGAATAAATGGCTCTTTTGATTTTAAAAAAAGAAAACTAAATGAAACTAGTGGTGTGTGATTGTGTCCTCTTGAAAAGTTCAGCCTATTTATTGTTCTTCAAACTATAGTTTACAGTAGTTAATGCTGACATAATATATAAACGTGCTCTTAAACTTGGTCTCAATTGATATTTATGTCCTCTAAATTTGGGAGTGCATAAGTACTGACATTTAAACTTGTATACAGTTGAACAAGTAGACACATGCGTCCTACATGACATAATATGTGTCTGACATGGCATAATACAAATCAGGTCGAGTGTATCTCACGTGAATCGTCATGTAGGACGTGTATGTCTACTTGTTCAACTATATACAAATAGTAAAACGTTCAATTGAACCTATAAAATTCGTCTTCTTACAAAACAACTGGCCAGGTTCATTTGTCACCAAAACTAGAGCCTCTGCAGAAGTAAAGGAGCACCAAACTTAGGCTGCAAAGCTACAATACAATGTGGAACATGTGTATAAGATGGAGAGAGCTCAAACACGAACCGTTGTAGAATCAAAGCTACAGCCATTTTAGCTTCTAGCATCGCGAAGTTATGTCCAATGCATATTCGTGGTCCTGCTCCAAATGGAAAAAATATCATTTGTCCCTTTGTCGCCTTTAAAACACCTTCCTTGAATCTCTCTGGCTTGAACTCCTCTGCATCTTCGCCCCATATTTCCTTGTCGTGATGTAATAAGATCGTTGGTATAAATATCAATGATCCATTTGGTAGATACAAATTTCCTAATCTAGTTTCTTCATTAGTCCTCCTGATACGAGTTGCTAGTGGTGGATACAGTCTTAAGGACTCGTACAAAATCATCGTTACCTGAAAAATATATGTGAAATACTTATGTCTGGCTTCACCATTGTCTCTTAAACACCTTAACGAAATTTCTGAATTCCCTACTATATCTCTATCGATATGTAAGTTATTCCCAATTGATATAAATAATGGATCTTAAAACTTAATATATGAGCAATTTAATTAGTTTCTTAGATATTATCCTCTACGACTAAATCCAAGATCTAGAGTCAGTCCGAACTGAGAGTGATCGCACATAATATGTATGCATATCAATTTTTTGACTAAATCCAGGATCTAGAGTCGGTTAGTCCGAACTGAGAGTGATCACATAATATGTATGCATATCGAATTTTCTTCATATATGTAAAAGAGATAAGTTAGTTCATAATCAGTTGAACCTACAGAACCCGTCCTAAATATATCATGTGTCAATGTATGAGTTGTGTTGAAACAACTTACGATTTTCAACCGACTTAACTCATCAAAAGCTGGTTGATCACTTCCAAAGGCTTGCAAAACTTCCTCTCTGGCTTTTGCCTGCCAATCTTGATGTCTAGATAACAAAATCATAGTCCAAACAAGCCACACTGAAGTTGTCTCTTGTCCAGCAAAATAAAATAATTTGCATTCTCGAATTACTTCATCGATAGTCAATCCAAATTCTTTGCTTCCTTGTTCTTCGATTTCGTTGGAATTTGATTCTAGTAATGTACCTAATAAGTCATCACCAAACTCCTGCCCTGCCTCTTTTGCCTTTAATCTGTTGTCAATGAGACGCCTTATTGATTCTTGAACTTCTTTTTCAGTTTCTTTCATTTTCTTGTTGCTTTTGGTGGGCAAAAATCTACATGTTAAAAGATTTAGTAAGTTGAGAAAAAGTCTAGAGGTGCAAAATCAAGCAGAGGTCGATTCAGAATTTAAACTTTACGAGTTCAACCTTACACTGAATTCATATGAATCCACAGCCAAAAGGTTACATCCACCTCAAAGATCAATCTATTATTTAGCAGCTCGTCCAAGTTTAAACAAGTTGGACCATACAACAACAACAACATACCCATTGACACCCCACAAAGTGATGCTCAGGAGGGTAGAGTGTACACAGACCTTTACCTCAACCCGCTCATTTGTCACCTCTATTAACAATAGTTGAATTGGTGCACGATGTAGATAACTCTAAACGAGTAAGAATAATGCAGATCCATAGCTTTAGTCGTAATTACGTACCTTGATCCTGGGATATAAATGGAATTGAACTGTTTCATAATAATCTCAGCTTGTTCTTTTTGAAGTTCAAATATTCTTCTTCCTTCTTCATAGCTACTACCAAATGCCGTACGCGAAATCATATCACTCGTTAATTTTTGAAATTGAGGCCAAATATCCAACTCTTTTGATCTTTCATCTGGGACAATTTTTTCCCATTCTTTTAGCATCTCAATACAGCTTAAGTAAAAGGCTGGCAACATAAGCTACTTGCAAAACAAAAGAAAAAAATGCATCTCATTAGTTATATAAGTGGATACAAGATTTTAATTCTATCGATTCATTACAAGTTTAGATATAATATTTGTTGAAATTTTACTATTCTTTCTACCTAGATATCTATGCTTTGAATGAAAATATTGAGTTCAGATGAATCTTCTATCCAAATGTTGTATCCGCCCGTGGTTGTGAGTGTTGTGTGTCATGGACTTTTTAGGAGGAAGTGGTTTTAGACCATTTTAGGGGAGTTTTTAAACACGCGGGTTTCATATCATGAATGTACAAAAGACACGTGTCTGACATTCATTAATTTGATGTAAATACTCAGTCATGTCAGTTATTACAAAAAATAAATGTGTGTAGACAAAATAAGGTAGAGTAGAACCTTCAACTTCTCCATGTGGAAAGCTGGTTTTAAGATCTTTCTATGTTTTGCCCATTTATCTTCTTCATAGTTTGCTATGCCTCTAGCCAACAAATTGGCCACTGGATTGCTGTGGTGAGGCTTTTGATAAACATAATTCTTAGCAAATATCTCTCTAATTTGTTCACTTTCCATTATTAGTATCATTGGTTTTGGCCCAAACCATACAAAACATTTTTTCCCTGCATATAAACACAATCTTTTTGAGTCCACAAAAACTTCCATTCACAACTTAAAGTGTCACGCCCCGAGCCTACACCCTGAACTCATAAAGTTCAAATTCTAAATCTGCTTCTAATTTTAGAAAACTTACCATATTTACTAATGGTTTGAATAAAATAAGGAATGATTCTTGGTGCTATATCATTTGAAAGATTATCAATAGGCTTTGATTGTGCTTCCTTTATGCTCTTAGAGAACTCTTTCAAGTCTCCATGGAGTAGCCTATACGAATTCCCACATAAGCCTTGTTGTCTCAGAAACTTCTCCAATTTTTTTGGCCTAAACCATGCCCAATTCAACACTTTCCATGTATATACCAACAAAATTGCAACACTAATTGTTGCTATAATTATGTTGCTGAGGGTCTCCATTTTTTAATTTTTGGTATCAGAAAGGTTTAGTTTTAATTAAACATATAATTATAACTCATATCTAAG